TTGGCTGCCAAAGATCCAAATGATTTGGCACACAGTAAAGTGACAAATATTGTCCAAATTCATTCACACGATTTAACCATTTGGTCATAAATACTTAAACAGCTGATCCGGTGTCAACCATACTTTTGCATTTATGATTTCGTGAGATTTGAAGTGAAATAAACAAAAATAATATATACGCACATGTACTCAGAATTTTGAATACACTCTCAAAATCTGGGCTGAAGGTAAAAAACGCGTTTTTCATAGGTTGAAGCATATACTTGCTCTCGTAACTTTATTTCTGTTTGCCCGATGAAAAATACTTACATATGGCATTTAAGAGAAAACATTTCGTTGTTTACAACCATTTATAAATGGTTAATTTGTCTTGAGAATGGGCACCCTATGTATGTATACTAGTTAACAAAATAGTCGGACAAGTCGTAATTTAAAATGAAAAAATGTTAAAAATTTTAATTTTGCATATCGATGGCTGAGTGGAAGATCGACCTATCTCGGAAGCCAGTTCAAAAATTCTGAAGTAGGGCGTTCTTGAAAAGTTTTCTGAGATAGCGCGTTGTTAAAAAATTTTCTGAGATAGGGCGTTTTCGAACTGGTTGCCGAGATAGGTCGATCTTCCACTCAGCCATCGATATACTCTGTAAGATTCCTTTCAGTGATCGGACTTCTACCACATTGTTGTAGATCTGCCACTTTTTTGAGCACACCTACCACACAAGGTCTGAAATCTACCACATATTCGCGTTTTTGAGTAGTTTTATTTTTGCTCAACATAATTTCCTTAATTTTAAGAGCAAAAATTGTCCAATACTAAACACTAACAACAGGCAGAATGGGAGGATAAAATAAACTGTAAAATAGTAAATTTTCTCAATATTCAATTTTTCGACATCAAACATGGTTTTATTGTGTTAAATTGCAAAATATATGATTTATAAAAAGAATTAATAGCGAAAATGATAAAAACCGGCGATTTTGTGAAAGCATTAGCAAATTTCAGTGCATCTCAAATTTCTAAAGCGTTGTTTACTTTTACTTGAGAATTGTCAAAATCGGCAAATCCCAAGCAGCATTTCTGGAACGAGCCACATTTGCTTGCTACATCGTGATGTGATAAAAAGAAAACCTGGCAGCACTCTGCAAGGTTGCAGAAATCTTTCAAAATATGTTCGAAACTATCAAGGAAAAAAATTGCCAAAACCTACGCAATTTTATCTTGCACTTTATTATACTAAAATTAATTTTTTTTAGATTCTAATTAAAATGTTTGCAATTTAGGAGAAACCTTGCAGATTTTTTTTAATTTTTGTACAAAGTTTGATCCAAAATCTGAGATCTACCACATTTTTTGAAATCTACCACATTTTTTTTAGATTCTACCACACTTTTTTTTAAGTCCGATCACTGATTCCTTTGCCATTTCTTAAGATAAATTATCAATTTATTTGTTTAAGCAGCGAAATGTCTTATCTTGAATCACACACATAAATATGTATTTTTCACCGGGTAAACAGAAATAAAGTTACGAGCAAGTATACCTGTGCGTCACCCTTTGAAAAACGCGGTTTTTGACCTTAAGCCCATATTTTGAGGGTGTATTTAAAATTCTGAGTATGCAGATTTTACTGCTTGAATAGACCTACAACAAGTGTGAACCTCGAAAAAACTATATACATTTTTTTTTGTCACACAATGTAAATTAGATCGTCATTAATAATCTGTATATCGTCGTTTGAAGTACAAAACCGCGTATCAACAAAATGCAAAGCCGCCTATGTGAGGTTGTATAAATTATTATCTATATAGTAAAAACACTCATATTTCAAAATGGTTCTCTTTTTTATAAAGCAATCGCATTTCTGGATAGTATATTTCAGGACGAATAGATAAGGATTGAGCCAACAGCAAATCCAATTTTTGGCAGCAAATGTCAGTTACGCGATTTTGCAGAATGACGATACGCGGTTTTGTACTTTATACGACGATATGCATGCATGTATATGTGTATAGCCAGCAAAAACTGCGGAGAGATCCGAAAACTGAAAGAAAGGTGAATAGTAAAGTGCCACGAAGGGTTGTGAAACGAATACTTTTCCGGTTGGTTTTCTGAAATTTTTCATTCTGAACTTCAAATATGCTTTATCATAGTTAATTATACTCAGAAATTAATTATACTTTTAATATGTTCGTCTGTCGGCATAAGAACCTGGGACCTCATGAAGGTTACAAATAGTCGCACGCTTCTCTGCACACTCAGCTACTGTCGAATACGTATGTATATGTACATGTTTTCAAATGTTCAGTTTGAGCAAATATTTTAAAATTATTGTTTTCAAATAACGTGACATTTTTCGGTAGTTTTCGGTTACGAATATTATATTAAATATTAAAATTTTACCAAAATTGGAAAATACAAAGGTTCACAAGCACGAAATGGCAATACCGCTCAACAATATTTGTATATTTGTCACTGGCATTTGTCATCAAGTGGCAAATCAGATATTTGGTCATTTGCGTAATTTTTATTTAGCCTATGTAGCAGCATTGCGTTCATACGATTTGGCCACCAGGGTTGTTTTTCATTTGCCACAAGAAGGCAAATATTTGGCTTTTCTGATAAATGACAAATGTAATTTAGCGTTCACATGATTTGTCTATGAATTTGACAAATTTTTAGCCAAATGTACAAATCGTGTGATCCCAGCTTTACTTTTACAAAGGCATGGCCGCCTTATGTAAGTAGGAATTTAGAATGTACATTTGGTATCAGACATACTTCTGAGCCGCTTTACAAAGTAAGTTACTAGTAATGCAGAGCAGTCGCTCGGAGTAGTTCGGTGCTTGGAAATAACTTCGGCTGCACGTTATTTTGCAACTGACAACGTAATGTGTCTTCGGAGGTGTTCATTTTGCCCTTTACTAGTAGATGACATTGGCCATGATGACAATTTTGGTACTAAAAACTGAAAGAAAACATGGCTTACCTCGCAAGGTGCTTACCTATTTTCCCAGTGGGCTATTTGACAAATTTGAAATCATAAGGGAAAAGCAAAAATTTGTTTTGAATTTTCATAGAAAATGCTTACGGAGCTGTTTTATTCGATAATTTTTGATAATTTTTAACACAATTTCCAAAAAAATTTCCTTTTGGTAAAAATATCAACAACATAAGTACAATAAGACGCTGAATATATATACTATAAACAAAAATGTGGAAAAGTACTTTTATAAAAGGGGCGTGACTCATTCTATAGGTGTGAAATTTTTAATCAGCCAGAACTTCGGTTTGATACTTCACATAAATTTAAAATTTGGTGTGAAGACATATCCATGGTGAGCGCTTATAGTAAGGTATATATAAATGAGTTTGTACAAGGGGCATACATACAAGGCATATCCCATAAGCGTGAAATTTTTAATCAGAAATAACTTCGGAACCGCAGGTCACATGAGGTTGGAATTTGGTGAGAAAATCTATGGTAAACGAGATTGTACAAGAGGGCGTGGCATTTTTAGTAAATTGAAAGAGAGTGAGTGCCTACCAAGGGCGAACCATAACCTTGGACCCATTACAAACAGACAGCTAAACGGAATGCCTTATTTTTAAGTAAAAAGGGATGAGAGTTGGCAAGAAGTCATAGCACCGTATTTTTTTGAAAATGAGTGTCAACATTGCAAAATTTCATGTTCCTAGCCACTTAAATGGAGGAGTTATAACGAAATATCTTATATCTGAACAATCAGTTGTATGGGAGCTATATGTTATAGTCGTCCGATTCTTCCGGTTCCGACAAATGATTATTACATTATAAAAATACAACAATCTACCAAATTTCATCCGGATATCTCGAAAACTGAGAGACTAGATTGCATACAAACAGACGGACAGATGAACATGGCTAAATCGACTCAGATCGACATTTTGATCATTTAAGTATACATTTTAATGGGTCTATCTCATCTTATTCCGGTACTTACGAACATCGGACCAAAGTTATAATACCATTTCATGCTCATGAAAGGTATAAAAAGTGTGATTTTATTGCTATTGTATCTGCAAAATTTACTTAAGTAAAACCGAAGTCCGTGGCCATAAGGAACAGCTGACTTTTGTTTGCAGACGCAACACTTTCATTGTGGCGTATCACTACGATACGTACGCCACTTCCTTCGCATACTTTTCCATTCTGATGGGCATATCTCTATTTTCAGATATTACTACGCTCCAAATCAGAATGTCAAATAAACGCTTGAAAGATCTCAAATTTCGATCTTTAGGGGGTCTTTTGTGAGTGTCGGATAGAGATTGTGCCGGATAACCGGATTCCGGATATTCACAGGTCTGGAGTCTACGTTACTTGAGACTGACTGCCTGTGAATGCCGCTTAGAGACTGTCGATATGCTGACGGGTGTAGAGGTCGTCAGGCAATGGTAAATCTCTGCGAACCACCTTCCTCAGTGAACTCAAAAAGAGTGTTTCGTGCACCGGGTAGCATTTATGTTGAAAATAGAAATGGGTTCTTGATCGGTAATGCGGAAATGCTCCTTTTCATAATGAAAAATATAAAAAATTTTAACTCTTAATTACTCTATTAGACACTATTAAATTTGATTACAAAAATTAAAAAAAAAACTTAACTAGATTTTTAAATAGAATCTTCTATAATCGAAATCCCGAAGTTAACTGTTTTTTTTAATAGTCGGATAACAGAAAAAAGGCCGGATAAGCCGGATTCCGGATATCTACCGGATACCCGGCACATCCCTAGTCCTCATTTTTCCTAGACTAATCTGGTCACCCTAACTTTACAATCATTACCATTATTATTACCATTACTTTTACCATAATCATCACCATGCCCTTAACCATTATCATAACTACTACTATTGCCAATGCCATTACCATTAATTTTACTATTAGGATTACAAATACCATTACCAGCATATAACATTACCATTACCATTACAATTACAAGTACGGAAAATTATTTTGCAGTTACAGCAAAATCTATTGTCTGAGATCAATCATGCAGCTGCCAGTACTTGGATTGGTTCTTATGACGGTTGCGACCGCTAAAAGCAGCAACTACACCGAAGTGACAATACTGGTTGACACCACTGACCGCCAAAGCTATAATAATGAAGCCCTAAATAACATCAAATCTCACAGCAATGATAATTCCAATAGCAGGAATGTAATTGCGAACAACCACAAAAGCGATGAAAACGATGAACTCAGCATGAAAAACAATGCAATCACTAATTATCACCTGCATCACACAAACAACAATAACAACAACAGCGCAGTTGCATTTGACAACAGTAGCGATTTTGACACAATGGCCATTAATTCGAGAAAATCAGCTTCTGGCAAATACGCAACACTGCCACGCCATCAAAGGTCAATCGCAGCGGTGGCCAAACAGAAGGGATTATTACAGCAGGTGACGGATGGTGAGCGCATCTTGCGGCGTGGCAAACGGTATTTGCAATTTGCCAAAGGCTCGCGTGTCTCGGTAAGCAGTTAACGAATATCGGTATTGTACGAATGTGTTTGTGTTCAATCAGCTGCACAATAATTTTTTGCTCGATTGTTCATCTTTTGCTTTTATACTGGCATACCTACATATATGTAAGTATTTTTTTACGAATTTTCATTTCTATTTTCACACAAGTGGCGTACAACTGGCAAAAATAATATTTTGAAGGTGAATACCCTCTGGGGTTATGGTTATGGATTTCGCGCCAATTTCCCCTTTCCTGGTCCTGAGGAGTCGCGGCGTCCCTTCTTCAAGCGTGATGTATTACATTCACTTGCAGATGTCCTGGACGGGTTAGTTCAGACTTATTCTATATGAACTATTGACAAGATCCGACTTCTCTAATTTATTTTTGCATATTTTCGTTTTTAGACATGGCTTGGATGGCCGAGCTTGCATCCTGAAGTCTTATTGTACGGCCGCTTTAGATGTGGACTCAAATATTAGCGGTGGCATGCTTTTCAAAATGCTGAAACTTATTTTTACGTAAGTGCAAGAATTTAAAAATATCAGTATATGCGAATGTACTTATTTAAAATTATATTTATAAAAACTATAGAAGAAGCACAAGAAGAAAATTTATTTCGAATGATTTTCTCTATTGGAAAATTTGATTATTATCTTCTAAATACATACATAGTAATCGAATTTCATGGCTACCATGAAGATTCTCGACTGCTTTGTGGGGGATTTTATTGCCGTCTGGCTGTTAGTGAAGATATAGGTATCAACTTGGGGTACTATATCACACTTTACCAGTGTCCAGTGGCTCTGTCGATTGCCATCAGTTCCGCATGAAAAACGCTGCAGTGGTCCGGGAGACGAAAGCTAAGAGAGATTCCCAGGTAATAGGATCTGTGTATACAGAGATGGACTTTCCACTCCTTACAACTTTTTGCTTTCACTCTTCCCTTGAGGGTAGGAGGGTCGTAAACGAAATTTGGTCTCTTCCTTTTCTGCCAGGGTATTGCTCTCTAGAGTTATAAATATTACCGAGATCGGATATAATGTGCTTCTTAGTGAAGAGCACAAGGCCCGTTTTTTCAGGATTCACTCCCAGTCGTCAATTGTTACAGGACAGGGATAGTTTTTTGAGAGATCTTAGAATCAAATCGGTCAGTCGTCGGCGTATGCAATTATCTGACCGCCAATATCTTCAAGTTCTCGAAGAAGGTTGGAAATTGCTATGTTCCACAGTAGCGGTGTATTACTCCGCCCCTCTTGGGTGTACCCCTGACCGGGAACTTTTTATTTACTGATTCTTCTAATCCTGAGCTTATTTCTCGTCTCCTCGGCAAGCCAGGTTAGTGAATTGCTTACAAGGATTAGAGACATGCGCTACTGTTCAGTGTTTTAGTTTAGAGTTGTGAAGTTATTGTCGAGGCTCGTCGATATCTTTGTTGTGGTCTTAGAGTAATGTATGCGTATACAGCGTCGCAAAATGTTACACTGGTTATAGCTGGGCTGATTTCACTTGACCTGTCGGCTCAAGAATTTACCGGAAATAGGAAAGCTGGCACTACTGAGCGACCTACCTCTCCTCACTCAGTGTTATACCAACATCGGTTTATTTTTAGTCTGCAGGTGGACTTTAAGGCATCCCCACGTATGACGACACAAAATGACGCTAACTGAAGCAGTGCATCAAGAGCAGCACCAAGTTTTGTAGGGAAAGCTCTCATGTAGCACACAGCAATCGCTCTTTCAAGTTTAGCGAGCAGATTTCCCACGATACTGATTGATAGTCTGCCCCCATGCCACAGATGCAGAGCTGATTATGGGTCTGATCATAGAGGTAAAAGTTTAGAGGATTCCCTTTGGTGACAGACCCCACTTTGGAGGTCTTGCGTTCCACGCGAGATTTCTACGACAGGTTTGTATCCAGAATTACTCCTAGGTAAGGGAGCTGTGACTCATTTAAGAGCGAGGAGAATGAGACCTTCCAACCTTCTCCTTCTAGTGGTTGGGTGGGCGGTTACCCCATTTCCATTACACTAAGTGTCTATCATATTCCGTATTGTCTGTGCTTTCCTGCAAACAGCTAGACCATATCGTCTAGATAGGCTTGGGCTTAGATATCAGAGTCATTAAGGGTGACAAGAAGACAATCAATTACCGGGGAGCCCTTGTTAACTTAGCAACTGTGATATTGACCTCCTCCTGCCTGACTCCTGAAGACCTGCTGAGCCAGCATTGAACGAATCAAATTTACCAGTACAGAATCTACTCCACGCCGTGGAGCAGAAATGCGCATGCTATCGAAGGTGGCATTCTCAAAACCATAATTAGTTTCTACAAAAACCTCCAAGGTGAATTCACTTTTCTATTGATGGCTATGCTAATTCCGGCTACCAGATTTTACCATCTGATAGGCATATTGACAGAGGATGTGATGAGAGCGCCTCACATGTCTGGGATGTTGACGTATGGTATGACGCAAAACGAAAAAAAGTCCAAAAAGAAAAAAAAGTACTAAACTTCTAGAGACCCTGAAAAGGAAAATCTGAAAAGCTACGTTGAAAGCATTTTTTTTTTGAAAAAAGTCGGAAAAGTAAAATTTTTGAAAAAAAGAAACTAAAACTTTTAGTAGCAAAATTATGCCAAAAAATGTTTATTGAAATAATTATACTTCAGATTTTATTAGATTAATTTTCAGAATTTGTATTCTTGTTTTCAAACAACCATACCTGGGTTAACGATTACGCTTTCTTCGCTTCTCAGAACACTTTTAATATTTATTTTTTTCCAAATTTAACTTGTTCGACTCTTTAAAATAGATGTTTTTGTCAGCGTAATTTTGCAGAACATTTCCCCGTCTCAGGAACTCTAGAACTTGAAAAGCTACTCAGGACAGTTTCATTTTTTTTTTAAGTTTAATTTTTTGACTCTTTTGAAAAAAAGTGATTTTTTCGGCGTAATTTTGCAAAACTTTCTTTTTCGTTCTCAGGAACTCCAGAACTTTTGAAAAGCTAATCAGAACAGTTTTAATTTATATTTTTTTCAAACATTTTACTTTTTCGACTCATTTGTAAAAAAAATGTTTTCGTGGGCGTAATTTTGCAGAACTTTCTTTTTCCTTCTCAGAATCTCTAGAACTATTGAAGAGCTACTCGGAACAGTTTTAGTTTTATTTATTTTTTTAATTAAATTTTCTGGCCAAGTTTAGCTGATGAAAAAAAGTAGCTGTTATTTACGGTCCCTATTTTTAAGTATCGATACTATTAAGTCAATGCGCTGCTCAGTCATACAAAGCAGGAGTATTGATCGAGTATGCAATAATTGAGGTTCAACGCATGCCATTCTCTGACCAGTACCCGCCACGCTATGACTCGAAGAGGCATTGAGGCAGCTATGGGGTGGGTGTCGCTGCAGTTTTCCTTCTTTTGCCCCGAGCAAATTTGGCCAGCAGTTTGGCCAGCCACACAGGAGGGTTTCCTTTGCTTGTGTTGCGCCCCCGATTCTTCCTCCTTCTCCTCCTCTTCTGGGTTTGTGAAAGAGGACCAATTTCTTCCTTGGAGGTCCGTTGGCAGCGAGCTGCTTCCTGATCCATATCCCCTGCGGATGGATTTACACACATGTGGGTGCTACCTGGTGTATTTAAATCTATGCGTTGTGCCATTGCCTTGAAGTGAGGTGTCCCAGAGGAGGAGATGCATGGATTTTTGTCTCCTTTTATGAAAAGTACGCCTTACCGAAACACGAAAAAAGAGAGCAGTGTATTGTTTTCGCTACTATTTTAATAGATTATAAGTATTTTAGTTAAAAGGGATTTGATTGAATTTCCCTTTTAGCTTTCTAGCTAGCTTGCTAGAACTCTAACCCGCGACCGCGACATTCTCGTAGTGTTGTTACCCCTAGATCCAAAGATGGAGTTGAAGTGTTCCAACACAAAAAGTCTTACCGCATTAAATTTTAGCCAATTTTTTCAACATAAATACAAACTCACTGAATTGAATTCAATCAAGAAATCTGCTGTACTTCGAATAAAACTTTCCTTATTAGCCATTGTAAAATGATTTTGTTAAATACGCAATTACACTTACAAAAAGTGAAGTAGTGCAATGATGCGGTAAACGAGGCCTTTGGTGTAACTGTACTGTAGAGTCGCCGCAGCAACAAATACACGATGAATAACAAAAAAAAAAAAAACAGCAACATGAAACCTTGAAATACTTTAATGCATAAAAATCCTGTAAAAATTCGCGAATACCCTAGAAATGCTTGGGCTCTCCGATGTCAGACTGGCTAAGCGAATGACAGATGCTGCGACTGGTTTGCATTGCATTACGGTCAGCCAACGAAGCAGAGGGCGCACTGCTACTCACACATTGTATTGTAGTGGCATCGCGTGTTAAATGGCGTTGTTGTACTAAGTTGAGTGGCTGTCGAATTTAAGAGCTTTTACCAAACCCCATCCGCCTCACTCCCAATCCCTTTTGCCCACCGCTGTCGCTGCAGCGAAGTAAGATTGTCCACACGCGACGCTTTAGTGTTATGTAATACTTTGTGCTTTTTCGTCCTTGTACCGTTGCGCTGTCATTAAATTAAAATAAATTGGTTTAAATTGAAAATAAAGCGTTGCACAAAAGTTCACTTTATGTAAGTATCTGTGCGCATTTTACGATGCCAATAGCGCTGCTCGCAAAAAGTTGATTGCAGGACAAAATATAAACTCGTCATATATATATGTATGTATGTATGTATGTATGTATGTATGCACTTTGTGTTTTCAAGAATTTTTGGTTGATTTGTATATACCGTCACACAAATGTATGTATGGTATGTGCATGTGTTCGCGTATCATATTTTGACTACTTATGCCGAAGTGGGAGTTGTTGCAGTAGAGAAGTGCCTTATGCACTCACTTCGCATTGTTTGTTTACATATATGTATGTATTTGTGAACTATACTGTACTCGTCCTGGAGCTTCTCTTGTGCCTACTACTATGCGTCTTAATGCTTAAGCATTAATTGACCTTCATTTGCAATGAAATGCAAAACGGGTTTAAGCTTCATTAGCGAGTCTGCCTTAATTTAAGTTGACATTCTTGATTAAACACTTTGCTTGCTTCATATAAAGCAATCTCTTAACGTTAATGAATTAAATTACGTCTCAATTGCAGTCAAATTAAGACAAATAAAGCCAATGAGATAGTTTAATGGAAACTAAGTTCGCTGTTAATAGCTTAATTGAAGTGCCGATTTAGTTAACATGAAACGAGAGACTTGACTTAATCCTAATTTACTATTATAATATTTCATTCTTGTATTGAAAGTTTTATTTTAACTTCCAACGTGAAAACCGGTTTCATTTACTATAAGGACCCCCAGTCGATCAGTAATCAGAGCAAAATGTATAGCATTAACATACGCATTTTGAGAACTTGTGAATGATAGCTATGAAAATTTACCGACGGATGCATATATGCGACGAGGAATTGGAAAGGAATCTGAAATTACTTGCGTTATGATGGAAATAACTATGAGGAGTTTTCACTTAGCGGAGATTCCTTAGGATAGTTAGCCTTGAAATTTAAGGTATAATTTCCAAAGATCTTTCCCAGATACTACACAGTAAGCCAACAAACTTTTAGACTTTGAAACAATAAAATCCAAAACTTGTAGTTCGTCCTAATCAGCCAAACAATTTTCTATCTCAAACCACGAAAAACTACCAACATATTTCCGCCTACATGCCATAGAAAAAGTTTCAATCTCAATCCGCTCTTACGCAACACAGGCATGTGGAAAGGAAAAGCTTTCACACGATGCCAAAAAAATTCATAGGCACCCGGTAATTCTTAGCATCTTCAGGGGCAAGAAATCTTCACCCCGAAATCGTAGCTGTTCATATAGGAGAGAACCACCCCCTTTTAGAGCGATCCAGGATTTTAATAAAATACTCGAGATACTCATTACCCTACCCCCTAATTTTATTCGTTTTTATGAGAAATATTATTGACTATTTTTATAGAGTTTTTAAAGGTCATTTAGAGGTCGCGACCTGTCGAGTTAGGTCAGAAAATACGATTTTGTAGATTTATGAGTTTTTGAATGACTATTTTTGATTCGATTTCAAAGATCGAATATGATCTGAGAAGAGAATATATAGGATATATATAAAATGAAGTATAATAATCTATTGTCGGACTAGGTTTGTTGGGATTTTTTATCGGGTAAATTAAAAAAATACCCATATTTCTCTTAATTTTTTAAAATTTCAATCTATTCTTATCTAAAACTAAATCTATTTTTAAATAAACTGACACCTCATTTATTGTAATCGCGTAAAGCTTATTAAATCTAGGCGACTTTTCTTAAATACGGCCTTGAATTAATATTTATTGGTTATTTACCGGAATTTTAGACTTTTTTGTCAGCGTGGCTAAGGAGTAATGTTAATGTAAAAGTATAAAAAAACTAGCAAAAAGTCATGTGATTCTCTGTACACAAATTAAAAATTAAAAGTTTAAAGTCGTTTAATTTATATTTACTCACCATTAAAGTTTCTATACTTTTCAGGTTGAAGGAGCACGACAAGCGCCACTTTCCCTATCTACGCCTGGAGAATTGTAAACAAATATTGCACAGTCACTGTCCATTGAGCTTTAACAGCATATCACCATACACGGACGATGTATGAGCAAAATCAAAAGCAAAAAAAAAGAAAAACGAAACATAAAAAAAGCTATCCAATACATACATACATTTGTAATTAAATGGCTGTGCATGTTTGTGCACGCTTATTTGTAAACACGTAATCAATTTGTTGCAATAAATTGTTAAATTTGAAAAACAATTCATTTCCAACATATTCATCATAAATCGTTGCAATAAATCAACACAATTATATGCAATTATTTAGCATGTGTGCAGTTTAGGGTTGCCAGATTCTGAAACGTAGAAAGGAGTACAAAAGAAGTACAAAACTGGGAAAGGAGTACATTTCCAGATATTTTTTTTTTTTTTTTTGGAGTACAAGGGAGTACATTGCAATAAAAAGGAGTACGTTTACTCCCAAAAGCAGTACGTCTGGCAACCCAAGTGCAGTTATTACCCAAAAAACACTGCAACAAAAATTTTCCAACGTTTTGAAAAATTTTATTTCTCAATTTAATTTGCAGCATTGTGTATCATTTAAAACTAAACATTTTCTAAAATTTTTCTCAAACATTCTTCATCATTTTAAAAACGATTTGAGAGACATTTGAGAAACAATTTATTTCATTCCGTTCCCTTCTGTATGTGTCAACATGGCACAGATGTCGGAGCTTATCGGTAGTCTGCTACATCAGTCACAAAATGGCTCTGAGACTAGGCGGTCGCTGTTATTCGCAATTTGTCTGTCGGAAATTTGCTCCTCGTTCGAGTGAATTGAAATGCAATTAATTTATTGATTTAATTGAACATTTTTTGATAATCTCATTTTGTCATTTTTGATCTTTTTGTGACTACAGAACGGCCATAGGAATTTAAAAACGAACAAGTAAAAAGTCTAAGTTCGTGTCGAGCTGAACATTAAATACCCAGCGCAAGTATTAAATATAGTTTTTCACCTTTCTGACAATTACCGTTACTTAGTAAGAAGAGTGGTTTTACCCCTATTTCTAACAATTTCGATTGTATGTTCAGTTATACTCAATGATATAAACTTATATAGTTAGCTGTTGGCGGTATCACGCCCACTTTCCAAAATTCTAAAATAATGTTACTTTTTTCAAGGGATTGTTGTTAGTATCTATTTTGAGTAAATTAGTGTCATTTAATTTCGAAATATCGAAGCTTCGAGAATTTTTGAAATTTACCGTTATATTACCGATTTCAATAATTTTTAAAGTTTTAATTTTATGTGGCAAACGAAATAATCGTACCAAGTTTGGTACAAATTGATCGAATGGTTGCCGAGATATACATACCTGGTCATAAGTGAGCGGTGCCACGCCCATTCTCCAAAATTTTTTCATAAACATGTTTTTTGTTAAAAAGTTATTACAAGCATCAATTTCAAATAAATTAGCTTTAATATTTACTTATTTATCGAAGATTTCGTATTTCTCTAAATTACCGTTATATGAGATGTAGGCGTAGTTATTGTCCGATTTTATAAGTTTCAGCCGTTTGCTCCGTTGTACCAAGGCTAACAACTGGGGAGAGAAATTGGTGTAGGGGTTACCAAGATATACACATGTAATCAGAAGTGGGCGTGGCTACGCCCATTTCCCAAAAATTTTTAATATGCTTTTTCTTACGTCTAAAAATCATTGCACATATCAATTTGCAGTGAATAAGCTTTAATAGTTACTAAAATATCGCAGTTTTCGTATTATTGAAAACTACCGTTATATGGGAGGTGGGCGGGGTTACGGTCCGATTTCACCCATTTTCAACACCAACCTACCTTGGGTAAAGGGCAATCTACATACCAAATTTCGTTGATATATCTCAATTTGTGCTCGAGTTATCGTGTACACGGACGGACGGACGGACAGACAGACATGACTTAATCGACTTCCCTATTCATTCTGAGCATTTATGTATACATTTGTCTATATCTATCTCGATTCGTTTAGTCTGTTACAAACAACCGTTATGTGATGCATCGATAGTGACCAACAATTCGTCTACTTAAAGTGAAATATTTTTATGTTAAAAAAAAATTATTTATGTGTACGTATGATAAAAGGTCTATCCTGTATTGAAAATCCATATTGGCATAAATCCAAATAAAACAAATTTCTAATATTTTTGTGGGGAAAGAATGCAATAAATCCCCAAATCTTAGAAAAATGTTGAAATGTTTTTCCACTAAATGCATTTCTTAAGAATTTGTATATTTTCAATATTTATTTATAAAGGCCCTAACCAGCAAATTTTCTATTTTATAGGAAAAGCAAAAAAACATTATTGAAAGTAAATCAAAAACTGCAAACATGGCTACTAACACTTTCTGTGAAAAATGCAGTTTTCAAAAAAGTGTTGGTTAGGTAACGATATACGGCTTTATTCATAAAAAATAAAGTAGATTTATAAAAGGTTTATAAATTGAAAAATGTATGAAAACGTCAATTTATAAAGCTCATTAAACCTACTTTATTTTTTATGAACAAGGCCAATACACTTTAATTATACTTAAAAATCTTTTTATAAAAGATAGGATATTAAAGGTAAATTTTATCGCTTTTTATTTCTTTGTCAAACTAGCTGAAAAAAGCTATTAAATAACTGTGAAACTGCATAAATAAAAATTCTTTTGTATAAAAACTGTGTATATATTTTACATGCATCATTTTCAACACTATACAAATATTTCAATGAGACTAACTGAATTTTATTCCGTTCTGCTCCACTCATGTTTGAGAAAAATTTGAGAACTCAATATTTCTCAATTTGAAAATAAAGGAAAATTCCACATTAAAAATGTGCCTTTAAAATTTGAGAATACTATCAACGGTCATTTGAGATGAATTTGAGAACTAAGGTTTGCGATTTGAGAAAAGGTCTGATTCTCAAATGCGACTCAAATTGAAATTAAACAAAAATGTTTATTGGGTATTTGTTTAGTTGCATTTAATAATATTTTTATTAAATTTCTAGCCTTTTTACAGGCATTTGTAGTGCATATACATTAATGTGTGAGTGGGTGATTGTTTGTTTGTAAGTGTCAGTTATTTTATTCTGATGAAATGTAAATAAAGGTTTGTTATTTGTGGTTGGTTAGTGAATGTGTGCAAGTTTGAAGGTCAACACAAGCGTGTATTGTTCTGGTCATGTTATAATGGAAGTTTTGAAAAATTGCACATATATATCTACATACATACATGTATACCTTTGGGCGCAATCACAAATTAACATGCAGACTTTCGAAAAAAAGCCTTTCATTAACGAAATAATAATTGATTGAAAATAAACAATCCTCTTGGGCAATATAAAGTTATGAATGCGTTTTGGAAATTTTTTATATTTATTTTAGTAGCTATAGTCGAATATTTTAAGGCACAGAAAAGGTTGAGGCTTTACTTTAATGCAAAATTTTATAATTGATGTATGTATTCATAAATTTACGTTGATGTAAAATTGAGAGGTTTTTATATTTGACTAGCAAACGCCAGGCTTTCTTTGCGGCACCTGATAGGAACTTTTTCCAAGGTGCGAGAGTGCAGGAGTGCTTATCACTTGTGCTGAAGAGCGGTCGGCGTCTCTTTACAGGGAGACAGTTCATTTGATTGGAGGGGCATTGCGCGAGCAACATGAGTCGAACCACAGCCTGCATACTCAGCTTGAAGGTAAAGCCAGATGTCCCTCCTTACGTGCCTAACGAAGACGAGGTGGAACAAGAGTTATATGATATCACATAGGAAAATCTCCTCAATGAAAAAGTGAGTTCTTAATCTGACACAACCACCGAAACCTAACCTGAAGTCCGAATAGCTGCTCCCAATAAACTTGGGTATTATGGTTGGAGCGGCTGCTTATTTAGCGGAAGAGTTCCCCTTCCAAAATCAACGCGCTCTTTATAAAACAGCTTGAAAATATGGTTGACGGGCTCCCTTCTTGTGACCTCGTTCGAGAAATTGCCAATCTGTAAAGTACGGGCCATTTTCGCTCGACGACAATAGTTCCGTGATCAGTGCCATTCTAGTGCTCATTTACACGCCAAATTGTTAGCTTCGCCAATGAGCTGCCGCTAAAACCGATGTTCACCATTGGGCATTTATTTCGCTATCTTGAAGTCCTGCTTCGTCCATCGTCGAGAAATACCAATAGGATGTATGTACGTTTTCATTTAATTTACTATACATCTTGTGAAATAATGAATGCCCAGTAAGATTATTAATAAAAGGCATTGAGACCGAAGAAAAGTAAATTGCAAGCATTGCATTTAATCCCACTTAACAAATCTCAATTAACTGCTCGCGGCATATTTATAGGCTTAACAAAGTTTGTACGCACATTATTATCGTATTTTCAGTTTAGAATTGGTGCTTGCTTTGGCATTTAGCATTTAGAGAGAAAAATTAGTTAATTAAAATTTTCCAACTTCATCCACACTCTCCGTACACATGCACACCCTCATTAACTCACACACACACACGCACACGCGCGGTTTTCCAAGCTTTCGCATTTACAAACTTCACATTTACTTGTTGCTGTACTACGGCGATTTGCTTCGGTTCATTCGTCTTCGTGTCGTTTTTTTTGCTTTTTTTTGAAAAAAAGGGCGTAAGGCAACTAAACACCAAAGAGTGTATGTTACACGTCAAGATTTGGTCATTAG